TATATTTGGCGTTGAGTAAAAGTATCTATTACATGTCGGGCGTGTTTTCTCACCTGAATCTTTATTACAATATAGACAATAATTACACGTGACCTTGATCTAAACCTTTGATTCCATGTGTGACAGTAGCTCAGTTGGTAGAGCATTGGCCTTTGGGCCTGAAGGTTGTGGGTTCGAGCCCACCGTAAGACCTACTTCACGACTCCCACTGATGACTGCTGTCGTTGTGTCCTTGGGCAAGACACTTAACCCTACTTTGCCCAAAGCCCCAACTGAAAGATCTCAGCTCCTGTGGACTCACCACCTGCAGGAGGATCAGTGAGGGGCTGGTGCTCTGTGGACTGGGTGCAGCTCTGACTGCCACCCCCCCGACCCAGAAATGGATTAAGGGGAAGAAAATGGATGGATGGATGGATTCCATGTGTATTGATTACAAGTGGCATTATGGAGATGGGTTCTGATTGGACGGCGGGGAGACAGGGGTTACCAAGTGCAGGTGCTGTGTTCTCTGTCTGTGCTCGCTGTGATAATATTGTGGCGGTTACCTCAGAGAACGGATCACAACTAATTACTGATGATGTGTTTAGGGGCCCCACCGTGATCGCACTATGCAGTAACGCTATAGTGTGTTAATTGACTCTTGATCCTGTTCGCTTTATATTGTGTCTCAGAAATGTTATCAGACAGGATTACTCTAATAGCTTGTATGTGGATACGTTCGTTTGATTACAGGTCACTATTGTGGATCAAAATTCCAAATATACAAAGATAAAGTAAAATGTTAGTAACCTAACAATAGAGAATTGTGCATGCTACATTTGGCTTCACTAAGGGTGTGCAAAAAGACAGGAAATGTGCAAACCTCCTAAAGAGTGAAAAAATGTATAAAATTTTTCTCCCTCCCACTCCTTTTCGAGTTTGAAGAATATACAATATTGAAATAAGTAATTGTTAATGAAAGATTTGCACAAAAAATTCTTTGTTGTGACATTTAATAATCAATGTTGTCTGACATTGAACTAAATCGAAATGAATAAACACTCAACTCAACACAATATAAGGTCTTGTGTGCAATAAAGGTGTCTTATGTACATAGTTTCTTTATTAATTGTGCATAACTACAAGCTCAAAAGATTGAACTGTAAGGATTAATAGCAACTAATCAGGTTTTAATAATAATTAACTATTTTTGGAGCCTCTTGCGCCACACTCAGTCCTGGAGTCCTGGATCTACAGCCTTTCTGTCCATGGGAGCAGATCCCTCTCTCATTGTGGGCCTATATCCCGAGGTTTCTCAATTTTTCACAAATAATCTGGGAAATGTTATGAACATTTATTAATATTTATGGGCATTTCTCATCCTGCTCCCTATGGACCGTGGTTCCTACAGTATGTGTTTGTTATTAAGGCATTTAATTTGTTCGAACTTATTTGTAAAGTCTTCTGAGACACCTACTGTTGTGATTTAGAGCTATACACAAATACATTGAATTGACTTACATTTTGACAATAGATGAATTGCTAGGGTTTGGGTTACTGACTGCACCAGGGGCATTTTCTGAGAGATGTGGTTTGAAGCCCACCATAAGACCTTCTTCACGACTCCCACTGATGACTGCTGTTGTTGTGTCCTTGGGCAAGACACTTAACCCCACTTTGGCTAAAAGCCCCCACTGAAAAATCTCAGCTCCTGTGGACTCACCACCTGCAGGAGGATCAGTGAGGATCAGTGAGGGGCTGGTGCTAAGTGTACTGGGTGCAGCTCTGACTGCTCCCCCCTGTGTGTGTGTGTTCTCCTGCAGCCCCCAGTGTCTCTCTCCCACAAAAATGTGTGTGTGTGTGTTCTCCTGCAGCCCCCAGTGTCTCTCTCCCACGAAAATGTGTGTGTGTGTGTTCTCCTGCAGCCCCCAGTGTCTCTCTCCCACGAAAATGTGTGTGTGTGTGTGTGTGTTCTCCTGCAGCCCCCAGTGTCTCTCTCCCACAAAAATGTGTGTGTGTGTGTGTTCTCCTGCAGCCCCCAGTGTCTCTCTTCCACAAAAATTTGTGTGTGTGTGTGTGTGTTCTGCTGCAGCCCCCAGTGTCTCTCTCCCACAAAAATGTGTGTGTGTGTTCTCCTGCAGCCCCCTGTGTGTGTGTGTGTGTGTGTGTGTGTGTGTGTGTGTGTGTGTGTGTGTGTGTGTGTGTATGCCTGTAAATGCAGAAGTGCTGTAAAAATATTCCCATTGAATTTTGCATGTTGTGTCACCCGCCTGTGGCAGAGGGCTGCAGAAACACAGCAGAGACTGGGCCCAGGGAGGAGACTTTCCATACAACACCAGGGAGAGTCTTAACCCTATAAAGTGCTGTATGTAGATGATACGAGCAGAGGCCCAGTGGATAAAGTAGTGGATATAAAGAGCTGGTTCCAAACATGAAATAAACCAGCTCTTTTATGAAATATGAGACGCTGTGATGGTGTGGAGCCAATCAGCTCTCAGTATGTAACATGTTTTCTAATAAGATGAAGACGACATAATAGTGCCATATGAACCTTGAGGAGCACAGGGACTAACTTCCTGCTGGGACTTTTGACAGGGGCTGGTAAGAGTCAGGATGAAACATGGGGAGGCAGCATTTCAGATTTATGCAGCTATAATCTGGAGATGGGGTTCTTCTCTGACAATGTTCAAATCCAGGTTGAAAACAGGTCTGTTTAGCTGTGCACACAACAGAAGGATTGAATCTTCACTCAGTCTTAATGTTCTGTGATTATTTATGCCTTGTGTGATTGTTTCTTCCATCTTGTTTTGTTCAGCATTTTGCCTTGTGTCTGTAATAAACTTGCCATCTCTTTACATTTCAGGCTCTGTCTGTTCGGATAAACAAAATGCATTCCTGAAACAATGGTCATTACGTTACACAAGGCAGGCATTGTGAATCCTGGCTACTAAACAAGAATCAAGTCATTAACATTAAGATAATGGCACAGGCAATAATTACAAGTTATTTTTTTGTTTCTTTTCAAGTTTGGTCTGTAAATAGAGTTCCCATGTCTGTCTCCATCAGGATGTCTTCACGCTGCTTCAGAACTCAATGCTTGATCAGAAAAGACTCATATTAATCCATATTTTCTCAATGGCATTTTTTCATTCTAACTCCATGCATCAAAAGAGTTATTGCTGGATTTATTGGATGATCAAAATAAACGCAGATTGCAATTTCAGGATGTCTCTTGTCCAGGACTTCTTTTAAAAGAGGTTCTTAAAATGTCAACCTCATTTAAATAAAGATAATCTTAATTTCAATGGGACTTTCTTGGTTAACTAAAGACATAGAAAATATAATATATAAAATCAGAAACTCCTGTGCACTTTACTTGAGCAGTTTTAAAGTCGATGTCTATATTTGGATGCACCCTGAGATCCTCTCCCCTGATCTCCAGCTCAAGCAGAAGGTAAACACAACGAGAACAAAGCAGTAAAGCCTTCTCAATGTAAACAGTCGGTGCCCACTTCAATTACCTCATACAGAGCTGCACGCTGGGCTTTTTATTGAGACGCTGACGTATGTGGCCGCACTCACCGGGGAGAAGGAAATCCCCCACGGCTCAATGCTAAAGAGACATCACGCCGCCAAACTCAAAGAGACAAGGCCGACACAAGGCAACTCAAAGTGCTGAACAAAACACTATAGATCATCACAAGGCATTCAAATCATAAAAATAAAAACATCGCCGTACATGAAACTAGTAAAGAAACAATCCTTCATTTGTATGCAGCTAAACAGAACCATTTTTAACCTGGATTTGAACATTGTCAGAAGAGAAGCCAGTCTCACATTTTCAGGAAGTCTGTTTCAGATTTTTAGTTGCATAAATCGGAAATGCTGCCTTCTTGTGTTTCGTCCTGACTCTGGCATAAGTATACTGCAAAAAGTGACACAAAAGTACATGAGAAATTGCTCAAATTTGGCCAAATGTATCTTAACTTGAGCACATTCTGACTGCCTTAAAACAAAATTTGCCAAAGGGATACGCAAAATTATCTTGTTTTAAAAAGATACAAGAAATGTCTCCCTCGGAATGAGAAAATGAAGTAACAGTTCTTGAAATGAGACTAAACAACAACAGCAAATCTTGTTTTAAGAAAATCTAAATCCGGAAAAAACCACTCAATTCAAGCATGTATTACCTCACATTTAAATATTTTTTTGCAGTGCAGAAGGCATTAGCTGATTCATACGGGACTATAGCGCTTTGTACCATAGGTGTTGCCTGTTACTATAGCAACCGCATCCTAATGTTGGTCGAGTGGTCAGGAGGCAGAGATTGTGGTAGGGTCAGGGATGTCCGGTGAGAGACTGTGTTATCGTCATTACCCTGCTGATCCTGTGAAGCCTCTCGGGACCCTGTTTGAATATCAGGGCCACATACACATTTACATCTGGGGGCAGAGAGAAGCGACGGCTCCATGTGGGGGTGTATGTGAGGAGGTCAATACAGGTTTTATTAAACGGTAAGAGCGCCGACTGCCAGGGGTCACTCCGAGCCGCCTGTATTAGCATAGACGCACTGGGACCACGGCTAATCAAAATGCCAATGCCTCAAAGTAATTCACTCCCACTTAAAGATGAACTGTTTGCTCTCAGAGGAATGGAAGGCGGAGAAAGTAAACGTCTTATGATACATTTGTAACGGTCTATGTGCAATCGAGTGAAAGAGTTTTGAATACAATTTGAATATTCATGAGCTTTACTGCAAAAAATGATAAAATATGACTTAATAATTGTGTTATCTTAATTTGAGAATATTCTTGTATCTTATCAAAACCATATCATGTTGCTCATTTTCTCAGTAGCACATTTGGTTTCAAGGCACTCAAAATGTGCAAAAATTAAGATAAATTATGACAAATTTGAGAAATCGTAGACTTATTTGTCATAACTTTTTGAAAAAATGTCATTTTTAGTCAATAATCTTGACATCAAATTTTGAATTGTGACATCCCAAATTCTTGAGACATTCACCCCCTCATCCCCGCCCGCCTGGTCCTCTCCTCTGCTGGCCCAATACCTGACCGACAGCCCGTTCACCCGGAGCTCATGAAGCCAGAACACTTTGACATTTTGTGAGAGTGGGAAGGAGCGCGCAACACGGGAATGTGGAGCGCGCTGAAGGCAGGAGGCTTATCACGAGGGAGGGACAATGCTATCACTGTGTAACACCCTCGCAAAACAATAGAGCAGAAAAGCCTCCAGTCGTCTGTGACAATGCTGGCAAAGCTGTAACTTTGGTCTTAAAATCTTACTGTGATCCACGGATGTATATTTTATTACGAAATGAGAGAGAGCGAAAGGCAACAGTTGCTCGTGGTGGATTCAACATTTTATGAACAGTCTCAATACTTAACTGTGATTTACAACGCATAAGAATGTACTAAAAAAAGGAGTCTATTCTGGCATTACCAAACCGGTCAGACCACTGTAGTAGCCGGTTACAAATGGGAGGATTGATTTGTAATGCTTTCAAAGGCGTCTTGTAACTTTTCCTTATTTCTCGAACTTGTTTTTTCTGCTGTTTTTATTTACTGTAGTTGTAAATAGAATTGCTATTGTTATTGCTAATTATTATATGGCTCCTCACAGCAGCAGTAGAATGCTCCATTTATTTGAATGAAAAACTGAATTTCTCCATCTGTGTGAGATAATAAAGGATTGATTGATTGATTGAATCTCAAAACGTTCTACCGGTCATTATTTTCTATAACGGACCTCTCAAAACAATAATGACCGCTGCCCATGGCAACGCACTCTCTGCTTGTCTTTCAAATGCGTGGGTAACTCCGCAAGTAGTTCCGGCCACTCCGGAGCTAGCCACGCTCAATAAACGCAAATACCAATCAACACACTTAAATGTTAATCGGAGAATACTTATACATATACATTCTTCACACACGTGCACGGAGATTTTCAGAATTTACTGCTCTTGTCTTCATGACAAAAATACTATTTATCTGCGTCAAAAAGCGATCATGAAAAACCCGGAAGTAGTTCCGGCCACTCCGGAGCTAGCCACGCTCATTAAACGTAAATGCCAATCAATCAACGCCATTAAATGTTAATCGGAGAATACATTATACATATACAGTCTTAATACAAGTGCACGGAAGTTTTCAGAATTTTCCGTTTACGTTTTCATGACAAAAACACTGAGAAAAGGTGATCCCGAAAAACCCGGAAGTAGACACCGGCACATTTTAAGATACCGGCACAATTTCGGACACATTTGCAGAGGATCGAATTATGGATTTAGGTTAGGTTTATGTTTGGGTCACTCACCGCTGATGTTCACAATTCTTTGTCCCGTTTTCATGCAGTTCCAGAGAGTTCTAGTTTGGAAGTTGCGAGTTGTTACTCGCATAGCCACTGGAAAATCTTTGGGAACTATTTTATTTTCTGTCATTAAAAAAACCTTTCGGCTTCCGTCCGCTTCGCCCTGTCAGTACTTATTTTCCGATAATGACCTGCCTACTATACATTATCCCTTACTTATACATACAGTATAACCAGGGAAAAAAGGTAATCACATCATGTTTACTTTTGGCAGCAGAGATCATTGATTTTCCACAGTGCTCCTAAACACACCAAAATCCTGTGAAATTAGCGATTTAATGCATCTGTTGGCCCTGTCTCGGTAGCATCCAGTCTACGTGGTGACATCACAGCGTAAGTGGAGTAGAACATGTTAAACCCAGTTATGCCTAACGGACTGGCTTTTCACATATGCATTGTATTGTACGATTATTTGTTTTCATTGTAAGAATTTATCTTGAATATGCCAAATATAGATAACACACAACACAACACACACATACACACACACACACACACACAACAAACAATCCCAATGATATCCCAAATTCGAAAAAGAGTGAGTCGAAGCAATGATCACAATAATAAAGAATGCATCAGTTTCATACAGCGCTTTTTAGGCACTCAAAGAAGCTTCACATGGCATTATTCATTCACTCCATACAGTGAGTGCAGTCGCCACAGCTGCCCTGGGGCACACTGACAAAAGCATGCCCACCAGTATGTGCCGCTCCCTTTCAACCACCACCAACCATTTACAAACACACCAGACTCATTCGAGGCAATGTGGGTGACGGACACAACAACAGTTTAGCACTTTACAGCCGCAGCCGCCCCACTGTGGCACCTGGTGTACCCAGAGGTCTCCCATCACAGTACTAACCAGGCTTTGGCGCTTCTTGCTTGATCAAACAGTAAATTTATTGGGATAACTTTCTCTCCAATCCTTCAACGTTAACAATCATCATACAACACAAGAACATCAACAGCGACTGCAGTGTTATCATACTTCTCCTTTATTCCTGCTTAATTTATTTTTCAGAATTCAATACTTGCTTTGATTTCAATCTTCAGGTTATTTCACAGAACACAAATGAAAGACATTGACGTTGTTTGAGCGTAAAGCTTCCCTCCTTAGACAATAGACCCCTTTTCTACATGTAAATAGGGTTTGTATTCTCACAAGAATCTCTCTCATGAAACATAAATAGTTGAGATAGATGAGAGATGAGAAAATACCTTGGTTTAATAAAATAAAAACTGATTCAAAACCATGGTTCTCCATTTTCCACTTGCAGATGCCATTAAAGTTGCCAAAATCACCAACACTATAAGACACTCCGTCTCCTCACTACACAACATATACAGTACATCATAAATACTATAGCAAGGTAGCGCCCATCCACTACAGTCTATGCTATCCACTGACAGCTGTCAAACCAAGGAGGTGTGTCAAAACCATGCGCTCTAAACCAATAAGAAGCCGTGAAACACATTAAGCCAATGAAACGCTTCGACGCACCGACACAGTTGATACAAAGCGAAGCAGTGGCTGCAGTGTCTAAGACACTGACACGCTTGTCACGTGAGCGGCTTATTTTGACACACGCTCCAACGTAGTGGAACGAAGAGCGACTCGTTCCGGAGCCTCTGCGTTGTTTGCCCATCAGTAGTTAGAGTTGGTCTGTATACGACTAGGACAGCTCTGGTAGAATCCATCTTGCTCAGTCAAACACAACTGGTCGAGTGATCCGGTTTTAACCCATGCTTTGTAAACAGACTCATAGTTGTGTGCATAGCGAGCCCAACGGTGCTTATTGGCAACCATGTTTGGATCAGTCACCACCAGAAAGCCAAAAATCCAGATGGAAAAAAGAGCTTACCTTTGACGGTGGCGGTCCTGGTGCAGTCGTAGAGAATAGCCAGCTCTCCGAACACCTTTCCCGCAGACATCTCCCCGAGGAGGGCATTCTCCTTCAACACCTCTACTCTGCCATCTGGAAAATACACATACACACAGCTTTTAGAAATAATCCCACTCAAACGACACCTTCATATGATTACTTAGGTGAGCAGGACCGGCTCCAGGCTGCAGCTTTTACAGATATACTGCAGACCGGGTTGTAAGGTCTGTCTATTGGAGTCGGATTCACAAATGATTGGTCCAGAGTCAAGAACTTTTCCCAGAACATATGAAATCCGATCGCTTGGCTGTATGTCGTCATCAACCAATAACTTTGTCGGCATCGACTAAAATCAGTATTTGACAGTTTTTGTAAATAATTATCATATGTGTCCAGTGTCACTTTAGATAGTCACAGACTGAAGCCCCGGGGAATATGGAATGTATATGCCCTGGGTCTTCAGACTGGATTCCTCGTGCCTGGCCACAGTTCTGTACATGTATACAATTTAATTCAGTCAAGGCAAGTTAAGTTTATTTGTATGACGCAGTTCATACACGAGGCAAATCTAACTGCTTCAAAAAAACAAAAGAGATCAATACATGCTACATTCATCATAATGTTGTTTTGTCATTTATTGAGCGGTTTGGTCCACTATCACTTTAGTCCGTTATCACTTTGGTCCGTTATCACTTTGGTCCACTATCACTATGGTCCACTATCCCTATGGTCCACTATCACTTTGGTCCACTATCACTTTGGTCCATTTCCACAAAATATTGTCATCAAACAACATGGTAAAATATATAAACGTATACATTGAAACAAATATTCTAGAAATCATCTAGCAACCCCCAGCTAATGCCCCCTGACCCGCACCTTGGGAACCATTAGTTTAAAGTACTGATTTTTAGGCGGAGGTAAAAAAGACAGAGAAACATACTGTATGCACATCATCTAATCTTTAAACTATTCTCCACATCGCCCACAGAATGTAAACATAGCATCAGCAGTCAGCCTGAAGTACTTCAAACAGTCGTAACGTTAACTGTAGAACAAATGGGACGTTTGACCAGAGACTGACTCCGGGGAGACGGAGATTTACAATATTATGAAGGGGGTGGAAACGTGGAGATGTTTTCTTAACTGTGCTAAGGGCCTGAGGAAAAACAATAGAAGCAGCGTAATAAGCCAAAATCACACACCGCGGAGACTTCATTTCCAGTAAAAGTCAAGTTTGACAAATAGAAAACATTGCCGGGAACTACAACGATAATATTGTACAACTTTAAGCTTTCAACAAATGTGCGGCAACAGACTTATGTGATTTAAGGCAATCAGAGCAAGGAATGTATATAGTTTAGTTAAAATGTCATAATTAAAAAAAATAAAAAGGGAACAATTATAATGCAAAGGAAAATTGAATCTGTGGAAAGAGCTGAAGACTGCTGTTCACAAACGCTCTCCATCCAACCTCACTGAGCTCAAGCTGTTTTGCAAGGAAGAATGGGAAAGAATTCCAGTCTCTCGATGTGCAAAACTGATAGAGACATACCCCAAGCGACTTGCAGCTGTAATTGCAGCAAAAGGTGGCGCTACAAAGTATTAGCGCAAAGGGGCCGAATAAAATTGCACGCCCCACTTTTCAGTTTATTTGTTAAAAAAGTTTAAATTATCCAATAAATTTCATTCCACTTCACGATTGTGTCCCACTTGTTGTTGATTCTTGACAAAAAATTTGATTTTTATATCTTTATGTTTGAAGCCTGAATTGTGGCGAAATGTTGAAAGGTTCAAGGGGGCCGAATACTTTCGCAAGACACTGTATATATGACCAATCAAACTGTAAAGGCAAAAACTTAAAAATAAATTGTAAAACTAAAAGTAAATGTATATAGTTGGCTTCAAAGGAATAGAAATGGCCCATCGCTATTGACAACCGTGTGGAATTATTGTGTCTCACAATGTGTCAGCAACAGCACTATCAATTTCTTTCTGTGGATTGCAGTTTTTTTTCTGTCATGTATTGTCAGTTTAATTCATAAGTATTGATCTTAGTGTCTACCACTTGTCCAGACTCCCGGGCCCCAGATCTTTGGGGAGCAGCCTCTCTAGGCAAAAAATAACGGTAAAAAAAATACATCCTTCCAATAGCCGTTGCCTCGGCTTCAGGTTGAGTGAGTGAAAATCCCGGAGGATACTGCGCGGAAGTGTGTGTTGGCAGGTGAGAGGCCTTCACTGTGTCTGGGGAGAATACTGTTTCTATACAGGCATTATCAAGGTCACCTGTGTGTGTGTTTGTGTGCCCTCAAATCCAGTGAGACGCAATGGTGTTTATACTGTGACCAACTCCTAATGCCGCACAACTGTCTAAGAGAAAAGGCAACATGCTAAATGCTCTCATTTATTTATTTTTTATCAATATTATTTCATTGTTTTTTTTCTCTTTCGTTGGAGATTTTAGACTTATTTCCTTATCATGCAAAATATACATAAATTATACTGCTTATTTTTATGCTAGAGTTAGAGATTTTATTTTATTTTACTACAAAGTTATTAGTCATTTATCTAGTGTTGTGTGCTCCTCATTCTTACTGTTCTGTAACTTGTGATGCAACACTGAATTTTCACTGTTCGACGAAAATAGGATCTCTTAATCTAAATCTACATGTTATCTTTTGCATGTGAAACAGCTCTGAGTCTGTATTTGATTCAGCTAAGGAGAGCTCAGAGTAAAACCCACGTGTAACGTTCACACTGTGAGGTATGGGCCGACACAGGACTACAACCCCAACCTTCTGTCTGGTGAAGCAGGCACTGCAAAAAGTGATGAAAAATTGCTAACATTTGGAATGTATCTTGATATTAGCATCTTTTAAAACTTTAAAAACACACACTAAATGTCTCCCTACACTGCAAAAAATGAAAAAAATATCACGTAATGATGGCTTGAATTGAGTGGCTTTTATCTTAATTTGAGCACATTCTGTCTGTCTTAAAACAAGATTTGTCAATGAGAGGAGACATTTAGTCTTAATTCAAGAACTGATGCTTTATTGTCTCATTCCAAGGGAGACATTTCTTTTATCTTTTTAAAACAAGCTCATTTTGCAGGTCCCATTGGCAAATCTTGTTTTAAGGCAGTCAAAATGTGCTCAAATTAAGAAAACGTTTTGTCAATTGTACTTATTTTCATCACTTTTTGCAGTGTTCGACTGAGAAAATAAAGTAACAGCTCCTGAAATGAGAATAAATGGCTTTGACCTATTGGTAAATCTTGTTTCAACACAGTCAGAATGTGCTCAAATGATAAGTATAGAAGAGGATTTTCCCAAATTTTAGGAAAGAACTACCCTCTCCACTTTTCGAGAAAACACTCTTTTGACCATCACGTATCACTGATCATTAGGGGTGGGAACCTAAGGGCACCTCACGATACGATACGATTTATCACGATATGACGATTATTGATATATTGGTCAGAAATATACAATATGCCAATTTATGGCATAAATACAAGAAAAAATGCTGTTTATTTCATGATAAATAGAATGGAGATGCGTAATTTAGCCATATATTAAGTATTGATACCAATTTTTTTTTTTAAAGTGTTAAACAAAAATATCTATCGATTTTTTTTCCCCCAAAATCGATATCGATAATTGGCAAATGCATATCGATAATCGAATCGCGGGAGAAAGTATTGCGATATATTGACAAATTGATATATCGTCACACCCCTAACCAGAATGCTTGAAAATTGGGAAGACCAATAGTCTTGATGATCCACCCGGAAGTAGAAAATCCTCCCATATACATTTTCAAGCATTTATGACGACATATTTTATCATTTTTTGCAGTGTGAGCCACCATGCTCCTACTTACAGTTCTATTTATATGGTAAACATCCCTTCTATAACAATCCGTCGCCTCAGCATGTACACATCAAACGTGCTCTGCATATTTCTTCTTTCCCCCTTTTTTTGCTACTACTCAACTTTTTGGAAAACATATGCAACATTTCCGACTTTGAACTTTAAGTGAAAAACAAAATCCCGTTTGTGTTGCCTCCACATGGAAAGCCTCCTGCCGCCGCCACCAGTGTGTGCGATGCAGCGGCGTGATAAGAGGCGACATGAGCTCCCTCAAGGCGGAGTTTTGACACTGGCAACAAAGGACTGACTTCTGCTTCGCACACTCCATGGTCCCGCCTCCCTCCTCTCTCTTGTTCTATCTCTCCCACCTGTTCCACCTCTCCTTTCTCTTATATCTCTCTCCTCTGCCTCCTCTCTCTCTCAACGCTCTCTCCTTACCCCCTTTTCACTCTCTGCTCTACCTCCTCAATCTCCTATACCTCTTCTCTCTCCTCTGCCTCCTCTCTCTCGCCTTACCCCCTTTTCACTCTCTCCTCTGCCTCCTCTCTCTCCTCACGCTCTACTCTGTCTCCTCTCCCTTCTGTTCCATCTCTCCCACCTGTTCCACCTCTCCTTTGTCTTCCATCTCTCTCTCCTCTCTTTCCTCTACCTCATCTCTATCTTGTTCCATCTCTCCCACCTGTTCCACCTCTCCTTTATCTTACATCTCTCTCTCCTCTGCCTCCTCTCACTCTCTCCTCTGCCTCCTCTCCCGCCTGTCCCATCTCTTCTTTAGTTTCCAAATTTTCTGCCACCTCTCTCTCTCTCTCTGTCCTTACCTCCTCTTCACTCTCTCTACTGCCTCCTTTCCCTCCTCTGCCCCCTCTTTCTCATCTCTCTCCTATGCCTTCTCTCCTTCCTATACCTCCTCTTTCTCCTCTGCCCCTCTCGCTCTCCTTCTTTATCTCTCTCCTCTTTCTCTTGTTCCTCCTTTTCCATCTCTCCCACTGCTCCTTAGTCTCTCTCCTCTCCCTCCTCTTCTTCCTCTCTCATCCATCTCATCGTCCTCTCCTTCCTTTTCCCCTTTCGCTCTCCTCTCCCTCCTCTACCCCCTCTCCCTTCTTGCTTCCTATCCCTCCTCTTCCTCCTCTTCCCCCTCTCCCACCTGCACACCTGAAGGAACTCCTTGTCCTCACTCCCTCCTCACTCTCTCCTCACTCTCTCCTCACTCTCTCCTCACTCTCTCCTCACTCTCTCCTCACTCTCTCCTCACTCTCTCCTCACTCTCTCCTCACTCTCTCCTCACTCCCTCCTCACTCTCTCCTCACTCTCTCCTCACTCCCTCCTCACTCTCTCCTCACTCTCTCCTCACTCCCTCCTCACTCCCTCCTCACTCCCTCCTCACTCTCTCCTCACTCTCTCCTCACTCCCTCATCACTCTCTCCTCACTCCCTCCTCACTCCCTCATCACTCTCTCCTCACTCCCTCCTCACTCCCTCCTCACTCTCTCCTCACTCTCTCCTCACTCTCTCCTCACTCTCTCCTCACTCTCTCCTCACTCTCTCCTCACTCCCTCCTCACTCTCTCCTCACTCTCACCTCACTCTCTCCTCACTCTCTCCTCACTCTCTCCTCACTCTCTCCTCACTCCCTCCTCACTCCCTCCTCACTCTCTCCTCACTCTCTCCTCACTCTCTCCTCACTCTCTCCTCACTCCCTCCTCACTCCCCACTCTCTCCTCACTCTCTCCTCACTCCCTCCTCACTCTCTCCTCCTCACAGTTCCACCGAGCATATTAGCAGCAGAGGCTAATCTCCCACCAGTGTCACTTCCCTCTGCCGGCTCTGTCCCGCTGCGAGCCGACTGCTTTGTTTAACACAGTACGGTGACATCTTTTTGTACTTCTAGAACTTCTGCAATTCCATGTAACAGCCTGCAGCTAAGCGTCTCTGCGGTCTGTCAGCGGCGCCACATGTTACAGACCAGCTTCTCTGAATACCAACTAAAAACTCTGCTATAACTTGGAATAGAGAAGTAGCTATTTTATTATGTAAGCATTGTATTTTTAACATTTATTAGTTCTCATTATTGTTTGATTAGTTTCATGAGCACATGTTACACACCATTTTGCCAAGGCTATATGAATGAAAGAATGAATCTATGATAGAACAATGCGAAAAAAAACAAAAAAAACAAGGGTTAGGGTTGAGTAGTATCTACTAGTATGTACGCGGGGGTTAAAAGTAAAATCTGTAAAGTTTTAGCTGTTTATTTTAAGGCTGTGAAACCCATCGCCACACACTTTATACACTTTTCTAACCACCTGAACTCAAGACTGCTGAAGTACGATCGTGGATATATCAAACCAGTGTTACAGCCCTGGGCCTGGATATTGCTCCCTGTTTGGATTTTGTGTGTGTGTGTGTGTGGCAACCCCTCCTGGTTGGAAAACCACTGGCCCGCTCACCTCCCAGACGTCCGTGACTCGGGTGCTGATTGGAGGAGCAGCGCTGCACCTGGCCAATCCAGCTTCCCCACCTGGAGTCACTCTCCACTTAAGGCCACACTCCACACCTGGTTGGGGCTGCAGCCTGTGTGTGGCTGGTATGCCAAATTGTTCTTCTGAAAGTGTCTGTCATTGTCACAAGGGGTGAAAATGACTCAAAGACAGTCCTTATGGTCCGTAAGACAGAGTCCGTATAGCTTTTATTTGGTTTGTCTCTTTTCAGTTGTCACTTTGAGGTTTTGTTTTTGTGGCACTTCGCCTTTTTTGAGACAGCAGTAGGTTTAAGTGTTTAGTTCTATGTGTGTTATTTTAAAGAGTTTTGTGTCGGTTTTGTTTTGGTAATGTTGAGTTAACCCACTAATGTCCTGCAATGTGTCCTTTTGATTTATCATTTACATTCCTGTTATTAAATACTTGCTTTTCCATGTAACGTCTTTTTTAGTGTAATTTTTTTATTCAAATATTCCTAAACATACATAAACACACACACAGGCTCAGGCCACAAAACCGAATATCAAATATCAGTTTCAATTCAAAGAAATCTTGACTGTAGATGGTGTTTGGTCGTTGAAGGTCTGAGTGCTGCTGCAACTGTTAAAAGCCGGGCATACACTGTAGAATTCCAATTCAGAGGACACTGCTTTGGTGGGCAGCAGCAGGACTGAGGGCACCGAGAAGACTGCGACCGCCCTCTAAATTAATCACAAACCAAATGTTTCTTTTGAGTTTAAATAAATGTATCTGTCATGTCGTACTAGCGGTTATATGACGTTGTGTTGTTGGAGTGTTCACAAGGCCCATTAGTATGCTGTGAAAAAGAAGGCCAAATCATTGAGGTGTGAAATGGAGCTTCGCGAAGGTTCACTCTGGTAGACTGATTGCCAAAGCTATCCCCTCCAAGCCTGCCTCTCATCCTCGGCCTATCGCACAGCAAACGCCCATTCCCAGCCAACCTATGCAGGCCAGGCAAGCAGCTTAAAAGCGGAGACTCCCACTTCACGGCCTTCTCAAGCCTCGCAAACCACCGCCTACCAAATTGTAAACAACTTACAGCGTTGAAACGTACCCACTCTGACGTCACCAAGGGCTGTGAAGTTTTTTCGTCTCTAAGGGCGTTGCTATGGGGTTATTTCGATTTGGGGGGATCAGACAAAAAAAACAACAACAGATTTTGAAACCTTTAGTAGTTCTCTTCTAATATAAAATGGTATTAAAACTGTATTTCTAAATAAATCAAACCCGGCATAAGGTCTTTAAGTGTCTCGGTTCTAAGCATGGAATCAGATGTTATCAAATGTGCTTGAAGATGGGTAAACATAAAACTTCCTTTCCAAATACTCTCCTCTCGCAAATGCTACTAGTGAGGCTCCTTTGACTAAGCATCAGGGGAATACAATTGAAGTTGCAGACATCACCTTTAAGGCGGCCCATGGAAATACATGTTTGAGTTGACCCTATGTATTGTATCATTTCCTGTATATATGGAATTATACATTTCCACAACTATTTTAATTAGTATTCTGACCTATTCTGCATTTTATTTAGACAACAAGATTTAGCTGCAGGGCTATTGTCCAGACCAGAGAACAAGCCATCTGCTGAGTTAAAAAAAAACACATCATTGAAATAGGGCAATGTCTCTTGTGCTTATGTCGTAAAAAAAATGATATAGAGATATTTCAGAATGACACGTCTCCAGTCCCAAGGTATCACAGTGAAACAGGTTTTGACTTTCAGACCCGGCATCAATGATTCACTTAAAAATCCTATTATTGTCCATCTCCACACAATCAGCCAAGGTTAAAAGGAGAGATTTGGGCTAAAGCATTTTCTCCTGCTCCTGCTTAATGCCTGCTTCTTCCTTTTTTATGCACTACTTTGTTTTAATTTGCAGGTAGAGCAGGTAGGATCCCAGCCGCTTGCATACTGATTTCTTTCCCGTTTTAAAGTCCACATCAATCCTAATTCTATCCACGTGATGTCGAAGAGAGAAGGCTGTACTGAGGTTTTGGCTATTTCTATCCATGTACTTATTGACACATTTTTAATTGTACAAGGTATTTCATAAGGGAGCTGTATTTAATAACGTTTACTTATTGAATTCTGGTACAGGGAAAGAATTCTCATAAAGTTTCTATCATATAGCTTTTGAATATGGGATATATATATATATATATATATATATACTGTTTAATGATGAAATAATGTAGTAATTGTAATGTAGTAGAGCTCTACTGATAACCATATACTATATGTTGATTATTATTGTTTATTTTTTTCAATTTTTGCCATGTTAAATTTTTTATTTATGTACTTCCTGTTTTTTTGTGAATTTTGTCTATTTATGTATGCAAGTTTTTGTGGATATGTGTATTTTTCCTTTGTTTAAAACTAAATTTCTAAATCAAAACATGAGGAGAAAAAAAAAACCATCAACCTAGATTCTGATAAAGTATCACTAATAATGATAATTAAAAAACTGGAGTACATCACTTTTTTTCCAGATTTGCTCAAAACAACGTGCTCTGTTTCTGTTGCGGGACAAACATGTATTATTCATTAAAAAGTTAGAGCTAGCTTAAAACTTTCTCACGGTAAAGTTGAAATTGCGGTGTCCTGAGGCGACACACGATCAGCATGTGCGGAGAGTACAATACACACCTCAGAGAACATATATTTACTTCTTCTGACTGTGTTTAAAGCTGAGGTAAGTATGTAATGTTTATTTATATACCGCTTTTCACAGACCAGAGTCTCAAAGCGGTTTTACAATTGTTATTTTTGGGCATTTGTCTCTAACTCACCACAGAGATGGGAGCGGGGTCGCCAGTACAGGAGGCACATGCCAGACCTATTGTACATGTTTTTAGCGGAAGGGGACACCGGAGCACCCGGAGTAAACCTATGCAGACACGGGGAGAACATGCAAACTCCACTCAGAAAGGCCCTGGTTCGACCGGGATTCAAACCCAGGACCTTCTTACTGAGAGGCGAGAGTGCTAACCACTCAGCCACCGTACCTGACTTTTGCTTGGCCCCATTAGAACGAGTCTTGTAAAATGTTGCGAATAAATCAGACATGCTATCTTCACCTTAGTGCTCTCTTTTGCACCTGTTAGTCACATTTATTTATATAGCACATTTTGCAGACCAAGGTCACCCAAAGCAATTTAAAATGTTCAGAAACCAGATATTTTTCCATTCACACCTGACGCATCATCATTCACTCATTACATTCATACCTATTGTACATGTTTTTAGTGGTATAGGGGAAACCGGAGCACCCAGAGGAAACCTACGCAAGCACGGGGAGAACATGTACACTCCACTCAGAAAGAACTTGTTCCGACCGGGATTTGAACCCAGGATCTTCTTGCTGAGAAGCGAGAGTGCTATCCAAAAGTATCCAAAAAGTAAGCTTTATTCATACAGCACCTCTCACAGACCAAGACCACAAAGAGCCCTGTGAGTCACTAATTGGCACTTTGGGTTAAGAGCTGATGTGGAAAATAGAAATAGAACCAAACCGTTTTCAGGGGGAGGAAGTTACGCTATTTTGATCGGATGAGAAACAGTATTCCTTAATTCAGTTCATTCCTTCTTTCATTCATTCATTCATAGTTTTAAACGTGGGGTTTAGGAGGCAGTGGCGTCCAGGGTTCGATTCCACCTCCAGGCCTTTCTGTGTGGAGTTTGTATGCTCCCCCCTGTCTGTGTAGGTTTCCTCCGGGTGCTCCGGTTTCCCCTACCACTAAAAACATGTGCGATAAGTCTGAATGTAATGATGTGAGTGAATGGATGGATGCACCAGTGTGTTCGGCGTCTCGCTTCTGTCATCACTGTGTAGAGAGAACGGAAAAATATCTGAACTCTGAACTTCGTAAAGCGCTTTCAGTGACTTTGGTCTGTATAATGTGCTATGTAAATATGTTATTACTTACTTACTTTAGGTACCCCTGCTTTAAAACATCAAAGCCAAAAGGTGGTGTTAGAACACACAGACACACACTTTGGCATAAGGACAAAGACACAGAGAATGCGACGGCGATAATCCAAAGAGGCATTTGTGTTTTTATTGCCAGCGTCGCAGCTTGTGGTCTGCCCTCCAGGCAATGGGGCTTTACTAATGGGAGAGACTTTGAATGCAGCAGACGACAGCAGCTTCAGGGACCATAGAGCAGGCTCCCCTCTGGCACGAGAGCGAATCAAGGTCTGGAGCCATGTTTGAAAAGGTGAGAAGATAGTGGTGCAAGATCGTCATGGAGACGGAGTGTTGCCGACGGGATAAAGCCTTTTTGTACTACTGAATATTTTGGAAAGATGTTTGGTCTCTAGATGTGCAAAGCTTGTAGAGTCATACGCCAAAACCT